TTTATTTAAACACATACATATTGGTACAAAGGGGCACCATATACATATGCGCCACACAAATAAGTAAATAAATTCAGAAACATGACTATGAACTATTTTTACAGCCAAACTTTGACCAGCGCTTTCTCGTACTTTTAGTACTTTATCTCCACATTTGATCAGCTAGTCTTAACTATACTTCTATGCATAATATTAAGCGTTGAATTCTCTTTACTTGTGTCAGCTTTTTGTCCACTCAAAAGATCAATCGATATATTTTTAAAGACTTAAAATGATCACAACAGATATATTTATCAATTTAGACTTTACTACAAGCACACTGTTCCTAGTTGTGAGTAGTACAAGTATGTTTGCATGATCTTCCCAAAATCATTATGTTGCGAGGTGAGTTGAACAGGTGAACTAAAAAATAAGCTAGAAGCGAAAAACCAATCAGAAATTTCGAAGTATTTCTACTCAAAAGAATTCGCCAATCAAAATGTTGATGTTAGTATACCAGTAATGACGGATACAACGTTACAAGGCCATATTCATTTACATAAACTAGGTAGATATGTCTAAATTAAAGTCGACAAAACATACGTAATGCTTAGCCCAAAAGCATAAGCCAACTTTCCAAACTATATAAAACCGATTTATTGTTTTGATCTATGTAAATCTTTATACAATCCAATCCTGTGTCAAGTTAGAGTGAGAACTCATGCAAGCATTACGTAGTTACTCTCATATTTCCCCAATTTCATATTTACCATCATTCAATGCATTGGTAGGCTATCGATTGAATGTGTCGACTTTCAACCAGTAGGTTTTATTTGTGCAGTGCTTCGACTACGATCGAGTAAACATGTAGTATCATTATTCTGTACCCGATTTCACCGTAATTTATGTAGAATTAAAGTTATAAAGGGTTGATGAATCGCGGGCTTTTTCGATTATATAGTATAACTAGCTTTCACAACACCATGAAACAGATAAGTCAGGCTGATTCACTCTATTCAAAGTCAACTACACAAATAGACGTTGTATTTTAAGCTTAGAAAGAAGTCAAATAAAAATTCTTTAAGAATAAACTAAGACCACTAAATGATGACTTACAGCGTTTCACTCGTCTAGCTATGTTGTTGCTACGATAATATGAATTAAATATTTGAACATTGGTGGATGATGTTGAATTAATAGAATTATTGGAAGAATGAAATTTTGAAATCTTCCCACTTGGTAAAATTTGATTCCATCCTTGAACATTTGAAAATGTTTCAGTATCGTTTTCTAAAATCGTAACATTTAAGGGGAAAATAGTGGAGTTGTATGTGGCACCGGATAGATGGCATATAGTGGTAGAATAATTTGGATTATTTTCGTTTTGTCTTAATTCTTGATTTATCGACTCGATGAGAATAGTACAACCTGATGGATATATTTCTGAAGATGAAATGTTTACATAACCTCTGTAGAGAGAGAAAAACAAACAATCAGTACACATCAAACTAAAATGTGATCGAGTTCTTTTTATACAAAATTCCTCTTAAATAATCCTCAGGCCACAAAAAAGGATAAAATTGGTACTACTTATGATGAACACCACCAAAAGACAAAAGACTTGGGACAGATGTAGGCACGATTTAAAATGATGAGTTACTGAATAGTTATCTCTTGAATAAATTTGAAAATATACTATGCATCGATGTACTGCTGTTGCTTATTCATGGTATACAAATTAATTACAGAATAGAAGCTAAATAATATTTCACTTCGGTTTAACCTAACTATAGTTAGAAGTCAGTCAGTCAGCTACAACGTAGGACCAGGCACACATATGCATCGGTCAAAGTTGCCGAATTTCATCAACACAACAACAAGAACATAAAATTCATAGAACTTAGATTTAATCAGTTCTAATGCCTACTAAATACTAGCCAACACTAAATGTATCTATTTTGTCCAAAAAATACTTCTTGAAAAGAAAAGTGATTTTACGTTAAGAAAGTGTACAGTGGGACATTGGCTATGAGACAAAGAAGGCAATCAAATATCCATATTTTAAAAGCTATCTCAGTAGTAGAAGTAGGAGATACATATACTCAGGATTCCATAAAGAAACCTATGGTATATTTCATCTGAAGATTATTCTCTTTGTTATGGGAATCTGGAACAGAATATACAAATCAGTCGGTTTATCTCTCCTAGATGCTTGACGCTATTCAATATCGATTTGTTCAGTAATTTGGAACATTTTAGATAAGTCGTAGTCACGTGTTAAACCTTACGAATGAGAAAGCACAAATGCATAAAGCCTGTATTTTCCAGAAACATGTAAGACACGAACTAACCAAGAACTGTCATTTGAGCTTCTCATGAAGAGAACCTTCGCAATAATGTGAGATTTTAAATTAATTGATTAAACTCTTCTTAACTAGTGAACACTTCGAAATAAGTTGTTGAGGGTTAACTCTACAGTGTTAATTACCAACACTAGAAATGGATTAGTGATGCTTACACAGATCATCTAAAAGTGATAAAAAGACTTACTTTAATTTATTTTTTGAAAGAAAGAACAACCCATAGACATCATTCTTGGAAGCTTCGCTGATAAACTTGAGGTTATCTACTTGTAGACTATATCCCGTAACACAAAAGAGGTTTTCATAAAACTAAAACGAGATAACATTGGAGGTAGGAGTATTAAATATCCAGAAATTTTGCCTTTTAAAACTTTGTAAGTAAACGTGCAGCTATCTAGGTTGGACTTTCTGACGAAACACTGAGTACAAAACTACAAACGTGTAAAAGTTCACTAGTTTATGTGACGCTTTTTCTAGGGAGAAATAAAAAGCAAGAAGAACGGGGATACAATAGTAAATGTGACGCTTTGGACCTCCACGATTCAACGTTACTACTCTAGCAATGGATGCACTTACTCCATAGTGCGATCCGATAATTGAATGTATTCTAGATCATAGTACGGATGGACAACGGTTAAGACTGAAGTCTCGGATGTGATTTTCGCCCAACTTGGGACTCCTCAGGATAATGCATATGCATCACATTACCGATGTTTACACTGAAACCCAAACAGTGCTTTTCACTTCAAACGCTTCGCTGCTAACCACAGTCACACTCTATTAAAAACTTTCGGATATGTGGCAATACTGGGGTAATCAGTACAGGCTTACATACGAGAAAAGAAACTGACAAGTTGCAGTGCCTGATATGTCGATGTACATAGATGCAATTGAAAATTGTGATTTGAAATCTTTCAATTTCATAAAACTAAAACGAGATAACATTGGAGGTAGGAGTATTAAATATCTCTCCTAGATGCTTGACGCTATTCAATATCGATTTGTTCAGTAATTTGGAACATTTTAGATAAGTCGTAGTCACGTGTTCAAACGTGTTAAATCGATTTGTATTTTATTCGCTGTTGCATACACATAAACATTTCCACCTTTTTTCTCGATGGAATAAAAGAAAATTGTAATGAAAGCAAAAATAAATACGTTGTAGTGAAGTTTTTGTTACTTTTTTTTATCATCACTTATAGCATGTGACAAACAAAAGTAAGAAATGAGACAGCGAGCTGATGGCATGGTGTTTGTCAAGTGTGCTTGAAGTGTTTTGAGATGTTTTCGGTAGCCTTATTTCGGTGACATGGAGAAAAATTGGCAATTTTACGTAAAGGTCTGCTGATTATACGTTAAATACTCAAATCTTACTATAACCAGTGTGGCCGCTCTCCAAATCTTCTTCCAATTTTCAAGGTTTTCTAATTCCCCTTAACCACGTTCATCAGAACAACCAAACATTGAAGCAATGAAAGTACATTGTTAATTAAGCTTGCTTGTGAATAATCCTAGACTTTTAATTACTTAATTACATCTAGGCATCCGTCATGAATGGGTGTCGATATTCACTAGTCGACAACTAGATGCAAACCGATGCAGCTTTGAGGTAAACTATTGTCGTACGTTATACTCCCCTACAAAAGCTGTTCAGAAATTCTGCTAAGTAATAGCTACCTCAAGTAATTTGAAAAAGGACACACATGTGATGATGTTTATCAGTTCTGTTTCGAATATCTAACCAATCAATACCATGTCATCCGAGTGAGAAAATGTATCATAAAGTATGAATGCAACAGCCTCGTATTCGGAATCGTGTCTTTGAACGTTGCACCGAATTACTCCATCTATGGCACTATAACACAATGGATTAATGAAAGCATAAGTGTTACCTCATAAAGTAATGTCTTGATAAATGAGGATTAAACGGAATGGTAAAATACCGTTACAAATCAGTCAGTGAATATATACGCAATAGGCTGAAATATTTAGATTTGAACATTCGTAGGAAGGACGTGACCATATACATTTCGCTGATAATTCAGATTTATGTCATGAGGAAAAGTGGGCTAGCACATGAAGAAATTTATTTCATCAGAAAAGTCACAATTCACATCAAAGGAATGAGCAGATGAAGGAATTTGCGTTGACGTGGTACATACCATTTTGTACAAATCGATTTAACACGTTTGAACACGTGACTACGACTTATCTAAAATGTTCCAAATTATTGAACAAATCGATATTGAATAGCGTCAAGCATCTAGGAGAGATATTTAATACTCCTACCTCCAATGTTATCTCGTTTTAGTTTTATGAAATTGAAAGATTTCAAATCACAATTTTCAATTGCATCTATGTACATCGACATATCAGGCACTGCAACTTGTCAGTTTCTTTTCTCGTATGTAAGCCTGTACTGATTACCCCAGTATTGCCACATATCCGAAAGTTTTTAATAGAGTGTGACTGTGGTTAGCAGCGAAGCGTTTGAAGTGAAAAGCACTGTTTGGGTTTCAGTGTAAACATCGGTAATGTGATGCATATGCATTATCCTGAGGAGTCCCAAGTTGGGCGAAAATCACATCCGAGACTTCAGTCTTAACCGTTGTCCATCCGTACTATGATCTAGAATACATTCAATTATCGGATCGCACTATGGAGTAAGTGCATCCATTGCTAGAGTAGTAACGTTGAATCGTGGAGGTCCAAAGCGTCACATTTACTATTGTATCCCCGTTCTTCTTGCTTTTTATTTCTCCCTAGAAAAAGCGTCACATAAACTAGTGAACTTTTACACGTTTGTAGTTTTGTACTCAGTGTTTCGTCAGAAAGTCCAACCTAGATAGCTGCACGTTTACTTACAAAGTTTTAAAAGGCAAAATTTCTGGATATTTAATACTCCTACCTCCAATGTTATCTCGTTTTAGTTTTATGAAAACCTCTTTTGTGTTACGGGATATAGTCTACAAGTAGATAACCTCAAGTTTATCAGCGAAGCTTCCAAGAATGATGTCTATGGGTTGTTCTTTCTTTCAAAAAATAAATTAAAGTAAGTCTTTTTATCACTTTTAGATGATCTGTGTAAGCATCACTAATCCATTTCTAGTGTTGGTAATTAACACTGTAGAGTTAACCCTCAACAACTTATTTCGAAGTGTTCACTAGTTAAGAAGAGTTTAATCAATTAATTTAAAATCTCACATTATTGCGAAGGTTCTCTTCATGAGAAGCTCAAATGACAGTTCTTGGTTAGTTCGTGTCTTACATGTTTCTGGAAAATACAGGCTTTATGCATTTGTGCTTTCTCATTCGTAAGGTTTAACACGTGACTACGACTTATCTAAAATGTTCCAAATTACTGAACAAATCGATATTGAATAGCGTCAAGCATCTAGGAGAGATAAACCGACTGATTTGTATATTCTGTTCCAGATTCCCATAACAAAGAGAATAATCTTCAGATGAAATATACCATAGGTTTCTTTATGGAATCCTGAGTATATGTATCTCCTACTTCTACTACTGAGATAGCTTTTAAAATATGGATATTTGATTGCCTTCTTTGTCTCATAGCCAATGTCCCACTGTACACTTTCTTAACGTAAAATCACTTTTCTTTTCAAGAAGTATTTTTTGGACAAAATAGATACATTTAGTGTTGGCTAGTATTTAGTAGGCATTAGAACTGATTAAATCTAAGTTCTATGAATTTTATGTTCTTGTTGTTGTGTTGATGAAATTCGGCAACTTTGACCGATGCATATGTGTGCCTGGTCCTACGTTGTAGCTGACTGACTGACTTCTAACTATAGTTAGGTTAAACCGAAGTGAAATATTATTTAGCTTCTATTCTGTAATTAATTTGTATACCATGAATAAGCAACAGCAGTACATCGATGCATAGTATATTTTCAAATTTATTCAAGAGATAACTATTCAGTAACTCATCATTTTAAATCGTGCCTACATCTGTCCCAAGTCTTTTGTCTTTTGGTGGTGTTCATCATAAGTAGTACCAATTTTATCCTTTTTTGTGGCCTGAGGATTATTTAAGAGGAATTTTGTATAAAAAGAACTCGATCACATTTTAGTTTGATGTGTACTGATTGTTTGTTTTTCTCTCTCTACAGAGGTTATGTAAACATTTCATCTTCAGAAATATATCCATCAGGTTGTACTATTCTCATCGAGTCGATAAATCAAGAATTAAGACAAAACGAAAATAATCCAAATTATTCTACCACTATATGCCATCTATCCGGTGCCACATACAACTCCACTATTTTCCCCTTAAATGTTACGATTTTAGAAAACGATACTGAAACATTTTCAAATGTTCAAGGATGGAATCAAATTTTACCAAGTGGGAAGATTTCAAAATTTCATTCTTCCAATAATTCTATTAATTCAACATCATCCACCAATGTTCAAATATTTAATTCATATTATCGTAGCAACAACATAGCTAGACGAGTGAAACGCTGTAAGTCATCATTTAGTGGTCTTAGTTTATTCTTAAAGAATTTTTATTTGACTTCTTTCTAAGCTTAAAATACAACGTCTATTTGTGTAGTTGACTTTGAATAGAGTGAATCAGCCTGACTTATCTGTTTCATGGTGTTGTGAAAGCTAGTTATACTATATAATCGAAAAAGCCCGCGATTCATCAACCCTTTATAACTTTAATTCTACATAAATTACGGTGAAATCGGGTACAGAATAATGATACTACATGTTTACTCGATCGTAGTCGAAGCACTGCACAAATAAAACCTACTGGTTGAAAGTCGACACATTCAATCGATAGCCTACCAATGCATTGAATGATGGTAAATATGAAATTGGGGAAATATGAGAGTAACTACGTAATGCTTGCATGAGTTCTCACTCTAACTTGACACAGGATTGGATTGTATAAAGATTTACATAGATCAAAACAATAAATCGGTTTTATATAGTTTGGAAAGTTGGCTTATGCTTTTGGGCTAAGCATTACGTATGTTTTGTCGACTTTAATTTAGACATATCTACCTAGTTTATGTAAATGAATATGGCCTTGTAACGTTGTATCCGTCATTACTGGTATACTAACATCAACATTTTGATTGGCGAATTCTTTTGAGTAGAAATACTTCGAAATTTCTGATTGGTTTTTCGCTTCTAGCTTATTTTTTAGTTCACCTGTTCAACTCACCTCGCAACATAATGATTTTGGGAAGATCATGCAAACATACTTGTACTACTCACAACTAGGAACAGTGTGCTTGTAGTAAAGTCTAAATTGATAAATATATCTGTTGTGATCATTTTAAGTCTTTAAAAATATATTGATTGATCTTTTGAGTGGACAAAAAGCTGACACAAGTAAAGAGAATTCAACGCTTAATATTATGCATAGAAGTATAGTTAAGACTAGCTGATCAAATGTGGAGATAAAGTACTAAAAGTACGAGAAAGCGCTGGTCAAAGTTTGGCTGTAAAAATAGTTCATAGTCATGTTTCTGAATTTATTTACTTATTTGTGTGGCGCATATGTATATGGTGCCCCTTTGTACCAATATGTATGTGTTTAAATAAATAAATAAATAAAATAAAATTTACTTATTTATTTAAATACATAAATATTGGTACAAGAAGGCACCGAATAGATATGCGCTACATAAATCGTTCGATTTGTGTGAGGGCTGGAATACTGCCCGGGTACCCAAACCGAGGCGTGTGGTTTCTTTGGGGGCCATACCTGGAGCCTTTGACCTTAAGGTCTAGTCCACAAGGCAGTGGAGCATCGTGAGAACATGCAATCCCATGGTAGTCGGTGACCAACGATTGATTCATACGCCATTTTTTCCCTCAGGATACTGGAGCCCATGTGCACCATTGGTTTGGAATCAGGGTTTTCCAACTCCCCTAAGTAGACTCGCCGTGTCCACCGACCCGGTTAAATCGCCAGACATTCGCTTTTCGTCCTCTCAATTTCGTAAATAACACTCCTGCTGTTGCGAGGAAGCAGTGAGTAGGACTCCCCTGGTAGTAGTTGTATGCACGTGGCCATGTGAGAGCATTTTGAGAGGGAGAGCTGACTCTCCCCACAATCAAATTACCTTGAACTCACTAATTGATTATTCACACTAATAAACTGTATGATATTTTACTATTATTTGTGTTGAACTGAGCCTGGTTAGGGTTCACGCGATTATCGTAACCTATGATGAGACATTGGGTGAAATAGTTCTCAACGGTTCAAGTCCGTTCACTTTTTATCTTCCACTAATTGTTGAGGTTCGGAATTATTCTATACTTTTCTTATTCCACTAATTCACTATCCCTGATATGTTTGAAGAGATTACAGAACCACCTCAAATCGGTGAATCGAACGAAGGATCGGTGACACAACGACAAGACAAGGTAAACTATTCCGATGCATCCCAGCTCTGTTAACTAGGGGTTTCGGATTAGGGAAAGGTATATTTTACAGTATAAAAAGGTCTTAGGGAAACATGACAAAATAGCGTGTTGAAACACGGGACGAACCAATGACATTTAAGGTCCTTCCAAGTGGGAAATACAATCTGTGGGTAAAAATGGGCGCTTTTGGAGCGAAAAAATTCAGATTTCCAAAATAAAATTATAGAAATAGGATGTTTACCAAGGGATTTATAGGGATCAAGCATCCCCCGCAATCCCATCTTAAGTTATATTTGCTATGCCCAATCTTTTCTATCACCATTCTTACTCTTACCATGTGTACTACCCTAGTATGTTACTGTAATGATGTGGTAAAATGAGAACTTAAACCGGTGCAAATATATCCAGTCTGCTACGTTAAGTATGACCGACTGATGTGTCTGAACACTTCTTAATCTGTGTTCTTTTAACTTAAAGGATCGAAAGATACCCAGTATATTTCATACATGGTGATCTCTTGACAAATTGAAATTGTTATGACTCGTATAACAATCGTTATTGTATATGAAACGTGCAATGATACAGAAAATACGTACGAGCAGTCTTGATTGCTATTCGGTCCTTCCTAACTGCCTAGCCCAGCCAGTTGAGTCCAGAACACAAATAACAGCCTCGGAAATATGAATCATTATTCACAAGCACACTGGGTTATATATACTAACCAAACAGACCCAATTATACCAAAAAATATAAAAATAACGTTTGCACAGTAATTGGCCAATGTGGCTGTAGCTAGGGGGAAAGTAATCAATAATAATAGTTCCAAGGTCAAAATAAAGGTTATGATAAGAGGAACACGGAAACGATTAGGTCACTTATTTAACAACTATCCAATAGGGAATGGGCATATTGTATTTGTCCATAAATAGACATCAGATTTAGGTTACTCATTTAACAACTATCCAATAGGAATAGGCGTATTACATTTGTCCATAAATGGACATCAGATTTATGATTCATAATTCGCCAGGGGATACAACACCTCCCCTTTTTGAGAAATCCGGAGTTGATATCCGGATTTTTAATTTCCTCGAATTCACCCTCCCCCACGAAAGACTGTTGGATCATCATATAGCCAAGTTACTATTAATGCGATATGTTTGTCACCTTTAACAGGGAATGCATTAGAACTGAAGAGATCATGAGGATCGACGACATTTGATTCGAGGTCACCAACATTTGATTCTTCTGAAATAGTTTCCTTGAATTTCCTCGGAACCTCATTAGTAGATAATGAATCATTAGGATAATCAGTATCTATGAGAGTTGTATTGAATTCTTGATTATCATTAAATACATCTGACATTTTTCTCTCATTTTTATAAGAGAATTCAACAGAAACATATGAATCATCAAAATAATCTAAATCTGGTAGAACAATTACAGAATTTTGATCATTAGATTCATTAGAAACATTTTCCGTATCATGATTAATTTCATTTGGTGCCACTGTATTCCATATACTGCTCGATTTGTTTCCCGTTTCTTCGTGGGCGGGTACTGCAGCAATTTCATGAGCATTTTGCAAGACATTTACTTTCTGTGAATAGGATAATTCATTGTTTGCACGTCCGTTTTCGGGATTAATAAGACTTGGACCGTGTACAGGGCATGTCTCTGAAACAGGTAGTACTGGGTTACTGGGCTGATCATGTATAACTGCTGCGCTTAAATTATTGCTTTGTATGGATTCATTGAGGCTTTCGCCGGCATATTCATTAGTTCTGTAACTGTTTTCCAGCTCTGTACGCAATTTTGAAATTATTGCGTCAACTTCCGTTTCACTCCCAAAGCATGGGTGATTCAGCAGCTTCGCGTGTAATTTGTCAATGAAATCCAATTGACTCTTTCTGAAGCGCTGCTCTTGTCGCTGGATTAGCAACTGAAATTGGTCGGAAGTTAAGGCCATTTTTTTAAATGTAAATAATAATAATAAATCCAAAAAAACACCGGCAATTATTATGGATTATTTAATTCCGAAATGACGTCAGCGGCTGCTGTATTTTTTTCCAGAATCCCCGTCGCCAATTGTTATGACTCGTATAACAATCGTTATTGTATATGAAACGTGCAATGATACAGAAAATACGTACGAGCAGTCTTGATTGCTATTCGGTCCTTCCTAACTGCCTAGCCCAGCCAGTTGAGTCCAGAACACAAATAACAGCCTCGGAAATATGAATCATTATTCACAAGCACACTGGGTTATATATACTAACCAAACAGACCCAATTATACCAAAAAATATAAAAATAACGTTTGCACAGTAATTGGCCAATGTGGCTGTAGCTAGGGGGAAAGTAATCAATAATAATAGTTCCAAGGTCAAAATAAAGGTTATGATAAGAGGAACACGGAAACGATTAGGTCACTTATTTAACAACTATCCAATAGGGAATGATCATATTGTATTTGTCCATAAATAGACATCAGATTTAGGTTACTCATTTAACAACTATCCAATAGGAATAGGCGTATTACATTTGTCCATAAATGGACATCAGATTTATGATTCATAATTCGCCAGAGGATACAACAGAAATAAGGCGAGAAGAACAAGATTTGTAAAATAACCTGCCGAAAGGAATAATTGTCAGCAGTTCCGTTGAATAATCGTGCTTTATATCTAGAATTAATTGACGTCAGGTTTGTGCTATTGAAAGCCTAGCCAGTGACCAGTGGTTAAGCGGTCACCACAAGATCTGATGGTCCCAGGTCGGAATTCCGTGCCAGAGTAAAATAACTCACCGGTACTCCCTAATTTTCAATGAAACCCGGACCAAAATCATCTGACGAACGTAATTCACAGATGCTTATATTTATCCTCCAACGTATTTTTCTATGATTGTCTTTAAGATCGAACTATGCAACATAATATGAGTAAGAAAAAAAATCCACAGTGATTATGAAATTCACTTCCAATTGAACTAAACAATATGTTACAGTTTTGGATTAGTTTTAAGGTCTATGTTCACCAAGAGTTTAGGTAAAACAAGTGATCTTGGCAATTGATTACTTCAAGTTTATATACTGAAATAGAAAACTGTAGGTATGAAAGCTCTATACTTGTGTTTAGTTTCATTCTTCACTTCACAATGAAAGTAAAATTATTCTTAATTTTACTAAGTACACATCTTTCTTGTAATACTAATGAATTTAAATTGCTAGTTGATGTAATGTAGGTCAGTCATATTTTGGGTATTATCAACGACCATTCATTTGAATTTTCTAACTAACTTCATCTCACTAACTATAGTTACTTATTTGAATTCAATGAAAATTATTAATTCTGAAAGGATTTCAATTCGTGATGAAAATAACCACCTTCAAAAAATATTATTGACTTAAATGATGATAGTGAAAAAAGTTCTACATAAAAAATTTATGAAATTCTAAATAATAATCTACGTTAGGAAATACGAACAGTGAATGAACAATACACTGTAATATTTTCTGGTTAGCGTTTTTTTTAGGGAGATAGTTTTCTACGGGATGGGGTCGTTAACCCCATACCCAACCTTTCTCCTTTATCCACGCTTGGGACCGACAGTAGCCCCCGAAGAGGCTACAGGTAGAGTTAATACACTGTAATAGGGAGATTATAATAATAAACTGTATAGTGTAACTGGTAACAGTAAAGAGTTGCATATTTCTACAAGATGTATTTATATATTTCCTCACAGAATCACTTCTTAAAAGACTCAATTCATCTATGAACAACGATAATAGATTTACAAGAATAACTATATGACCATTACCATTGATTTTCACCTATTCATAATAATAAT